GTGAGTAGCCTGCACACTATGTGTTTTTCCCCCCAGATCAGTTACTAAGTTACTAACCTAATTTCTTTAGCGTTCACACCAGACAGGTATCAAGATTGATGATGACGATGGACACTACATAGTAGTCCCCGATGCTGATCTCACATCAACATGTTAGTATATTTGTCTTTCTCACTATATTCATCCTCCATCAGCCTCTAATTCCTTTATAGACCAAATAAGGAAACTACTGGGACAAGGCACATTTGGTAAAGTCGTTGAGGCTCGCGATCGCAGGCGGAACAAGCTTGTTGCGATCAAGATTATCCGAGCAGTACAGAAATACAGAGATGCTTCAAGGATCGAACTGCGAGTACTCCAGACTCTAAAAGCCAACGACGAGGAAAACCGCAACCGATGTATCCATCTGCGGGACTGTTTCGACTTCCGCGGGCACATCTGCATAGTAATGGACCTGCTGGGTTCCAGTGTTTTTGATTTTCTGAAGGGCAACAACTTTGTGCCTTTTCCTAACAGCCAGATACAGAGTTTTGCCCGTCAGTTACTGACGAGTGTTGCCTGTGAGTGCTTTTGAGCAAGCCATGATGAATGTTCAACACTGACGCATATGGCCCAGTTCTCCATGACTTGAATCTTATTCACACCGATCTCAAACCCGAAAATATCCTCCTTTGTGACAGCGCCTATCAGACCTTCACTTACAATCGGCGGATACCATCATCAACCAATGGGACAAATCGACAGGCCACGCAACGGAAAGTCCTTCTTGACACTGAGATCCGTTTGATAGATTTCGGATCAGCCACATTCGACGACGAATATCATTCATCTGTGGTCTCCACGCGGCATTATCGTGCCCCTGAGATCATACTTGGCCTTGGCTGGTCTTTCCCCTGTGACATTTGGAGTATAGGATGTATTCTGGTCGAGTTCTTTACTGGAGACGCTCTGTTCCAGACTCACGACAACCTCGAGCATCTTGCCATGATGGAAAACGTGTGTGACAGTAGAATTGACACACATCTTGTTCAAATGGTCAACAAATCGGCGTCACGTAGCAGCAGCAATTCTCCTGCTAAGTAAGTCTCAGCATTCATGGAAGCAAGACCAAGCTATCTAACAAAAATTAGATACTTCAAACGTCTGAAGTTGGATTATCCCACGGCCGAGACCACAAGGGCCTCGAGACGATTCGTTCGGAATATGAAACGGCTACAGGTAAGTCTGTACGATAATGGAATCAAGCTCCATCTAACGCGATGTCAGGATATTATTCCGGCAACCAGCCCTTTTCTTAGGCTCTTCCTGGATCTTCTGCAGAAGATCTTCATCTATGATCCGGCCAAACGGATCACTGCTCGCCAGGCTTTGGCACATCCCTGGTTTCGAGAAACTGCTATTCCGGATGATGGGACCGAGGCTTTAAAAATACGGCTAGAACGTATGAGAGATAGCGATTATCATATATCCCGAGTTCCAGTCGCAGTATAGTGGAACTGCAAAATCTCAGCAACAACGGTTTCAAAAAGGAAACATGTACACTTCGCCGGAACCTAAGGTTTATGATACATATGTTGTGGTTATGATGTCCATAATGTTTATCAGCGTGCATGCAGGGTGGCACCCGAACGGCGTTTTTGACTAGCATTAGGCGGTTGTATCGAAGACGTGCAGTCACTTACTTTCCATAGAGAAATTTGCCAAAGGGACGATCGTGATGAAAGGGGCATTGACGTATAAGGTCGTCTGAATATATACTTTGCCCAGTCCATATTGCCGTTATTGATACATGGACCGACGTTTAAATGATGGACAAAACTTACATTGTGTGGTAGCTGGGGACAAGTCAACCTGGAAACCGTTACTTATTACCTGAAGGGATTACCAGTTTCTTCTCGTAAGTACATATTCCTTTGAGATCGAGCCAGTTACTACTTCTATTTAGCAGGCTCTTTGCAAGCTTCTACATGCTCGGCCTCGACATCTGCATTGACTTCGACTATCGACAACAATGTACAGGTTTCTACAACAAGCTAATTGTATCTGTATGCTGTTTGGACAAAGACCATGTTATGGTTTCCATAGAACCACAAAGCCTTCAATGCCTTTGTCATGGTGGCTATTGTCTTGTTGTTCCTGGGCGAACGAGGCATATAAATGTTCGAGTCTATTCCACAAGCCGCCAAATTTCGTCCATAAGCATAACTATTCACATAAAATTGATTCAGCAGCCTAAACCTGATCCATTGTTATTTGTTAAGTCACTTTGTTGACTCAGACTACACGTTACGAAAGAACTCCATTGTCTTAAATCGACGCCTCCATGAGTATTGCGATACAAGACTTGTCGGACGACGAGGTCGTCCGCATCACTAACGTGCTTGCACGACGTCCCGAATACGGAATTGCTGTACCTTCTAGACGATGGCTGCAAAGACAAGAAGAGAAGATAAGAGATCTTCCTAAGGAATTATTGAAATCGACGAACTTGCTCAAGCGCATAGCAACCAAGATCGCCGATACCATTGACCCGAATATAGTGGACCCGCGAGCCATACTCTGTAAGACCCATTCTGGCCTCAATCCGTTTCTGATCCGAAGACTTTTCATTGCTCTTGCATATGAAGTCACCGTTCACACGGATGCCTTGCGTTCATGGCCCGGCCGAACTTCGGCGCCCGAGCTTTCTGCTTTTGTTGGTCGACTCGACTCCATCGCAGCATTATGGACTGAACCGCAGCTTTTCCACGATATTTACGGCTCTGCCCCCTTCGACGGCCACCACGTATTCGTGAAATCTGCTTGCGAAGCATGCTGTCTTGCGGCTGTCGGTGCCAGTGGCCGAGCCCTGGCGGACCTTAGAGCATCTCTCGTAGATCGTATGGAACGCCGTAGGGCGAAGCCGGGACAAGAACCTCGCCTATTCCGCGTGGTGGAAGCTTGGATCGACCATCTTCAAAAGCACCGCGAGGGACCGAGCCGATCCGAAGAATGCAGGGCTATGAGCGAGACTGTCGTCCACGAATTAAGGATTGATAGATCTCAAATCGAAGCGTGGCGAGCCGAGCAGAAGCAAGTTGCAAGACACTCCGTATACTCCGAGCTTAGGAGAACTAAAACGGGGACCAAAATTGCTCCTCTGCCCACTAGTGCTAGCCATAAACGATCAACACGACATGGGATTCCTATCGCCTTGGCAGACATCGAGACCGCCGCAGACCAAAGACATTCCGCCATGTACACACATAGAGCTGAGAGTATTTATCGCCCCGATAGTCTTTCCGGGAACTCAGTAGTTAATGAGCGACAACGGCTTTCTCGCAACCTTCCACCTGGCCCTCGCTCTCCTCGAGACAGTTTTACCAGTCGGTTTGAGCAAGCTATGTCCATAAATGACGAGCCCAGCCCCGAAGATGAAAGGGACTATGACGAAGAAGAAAGAAGCCGAGCCAGAGTGGAAGAATGGTGGGCCAGCATGTTACAGGAATCTCGACTGGACTTGGGCCAGCGGGATGATGCGCAATCCGTGGTGTCTATGGTACACCCTGCCTTCCGCCCCAGCGGCAATCGCATCGCCGAGTCTGTCGCCGGGTCTGCTTTGCCCAGCCCTCTTCACGTCAAGAAGGATCGTGGTGATCGCGGCACCGTAGCCAGTGAGTGGACAGATTGTACCGTTTACACGGTTGATGATTCAAGCAATAAATCACAGTCGACAATTAGTCGCCATACCTCATCATCGAAGAAACATAGAGGGGACGCGTCGACGACGAACTGGCCTGCTCCGCCCCACGGTCGTCGCTATCCACCCACGGCACGCGATAACAGAGGACCGAATCGGAAAGTCTTCTCTGCTGGCTCGGATGTCGAGTCTAACCTTTCTGCGCAACGCCAGGCGTTCCTTGCTGAGCGGTTCCAGACGAAGGAGGAAGGGAACTCTTCTCGCGCACCGCGCCCTCCTAGCTCTGTTTACGATAGTGATGATAGCGTCTCTAGCTCTGTTTACGACAGACATAGTATGACGTCCGAGCGGCCGCGCGCTTCTAACTCCGGATATGATGGGTATAGCGTGGCGAGCGGATTCTAGACTGAAGCAAGCCATGACAACAACTAGCGCCGGTTCTAGCACTTTACTACTAATTTTACTGACTTCATAGTTGCTTGCTAACAGTAAGTAGGTATTTAGTCGTGCCTTGCTAGCTGCCTTGTCGACCACAACCGTAAGTAGCTTGATTAATTATCAAGCCAAATGTAGAAAACTGATGAGAAAAGTGGCCATCAATCAATCAAAAGACGCAACGCGGTTGATAGATAGATTCGAACCGCTATTCTTCGTAGTCGCTCGATAACTTATCTTTAGCTAACTAGGGGAAACTTGAGCTTAACGTCCCAAAAGGAGAGAAAAAGGAGAGAAAAAAAAGAAAAAGGAAAAAAGAAGAAGAAAAGAGCAGTTGATCAGTTAGAAAGAAAATAATATCTAGAGTTTCATTACAAAAAGAGTCCGGTGAGTAGTCCTTTCTTTACCTTGAACGCGCAACCCTTCCTTCTTGTTCATGAAACCCGAATAAAACTTTCACTCAATAAGCCACTAACTAGCCCTGCTTATTTCCTATCTCGCATCTCGCTTCGTCTCCTCCGTCATACAGTTTGTACCTTCAATGTCTTGTAAAGAAAGACCGGTGTTCATTAACTTCTTGATAGTCATCGGTGAAGCAATGGAGACCCAACTAGCAGTTAATACAGTGAAAAAAAAAGGTTTGTCATTATAAATACATCAAATCTGAATCTTAGCTAACTTGACTTATGAACTTGGTACTTGATTCCGCTTACTTTTCAAATCATTAAGCCTAACTAACCACCTGGTATTCGCAGAAAGAATATTGTCCGTAATCATAACGCCGTGAAAGTAAAGTAGTATGGTAGACCATAGCCACTTATTTCTTTCAGATCGAAAATGAGGCTCCTGGTGATATTGCTTATTATTTCTAATTCCTAACAACATTGGGCGAATGGTCTAGGGGTATGATATTCGCTTTGCATTAGTCCACTGGTTGATACCAGCTCGGATAGGTTGATGCTTGCGAAGGGTCCGGGGTTCAAATCCCCGTTCGTCCACTTACTTAGTTTTTTGTCTTTTTCTATGTTAATGCCAAATTGGGGTAATTATGTTTTGATCCAATTCAGGATTAAGGGGATCCACCACTCGCCGTAAAAGGAAAAAGCGACGATGGGAGGATCACGTGATTCCACCCTTAGACGGATCGGTTGCTTATCAGGAAGGAAGGTAATGTCACTCAATAAAGCAACGTTGGGCAGGCAGGTTGTCGGAGCCCGGGCCCTGATATACTTCCTACTGTCATGGCTCCGAATTAGGGTACGTAATAGATACTTGTTGTTGCGCGAAGGACTCTAAACTCACTCTCTCGCTATATACAGCAAATCACTTCGTTCTATGCTTACGCCTCGCGACACCTGCAAAGAATAGCCCTATCGCTATCTCGGCAAGTTTTATTCTATTACTTACAGGATTTGTCATGGAAGGCTGGTGCTGTGCATGATCGTCTCAACAGTTATCACCTTGCGTCTTATACTGATTGAATTATGGCCGCAGGTTGTATAACACAAGGTAATATAATACGTCTGTTATTATGCGAGAACGAGTGAAACGAATGTGTATATTGAAATATGTATCCTGGTTTTCTTGTGTATATAGAGAAACAAATGCGAAAAACAGAGAAAAAAAGATGAGAACAATTCTTGATCCAAAAGAGGATGTAACCCCGTTTAGCTCAACTCCCTTTCTGAAAACCCCCCTCTTCACCCAAAATGACTTGCCAGGGGCGCGAAGCTCGGGGTATCTAAGAGCCGGGATGATGGAAGACGTATGGCTTCGAATTTGGATCCTTTATGTAATCAAAATCACTAGGGTTTATCGATACTCCGTAGGCCGTGGTCTTCTTTTTCCCACAAACACTGAAGTCTGGTGGGGTTTTGAACAAGGCTGGACAAAAAACGCGAGATTTATCGCTGGCCGCAGACCTTAGTAACCTGTATTTCTAGAGTTTTTGAGATGATTGCAACTTACTAATTGACAAAGTTGATTGTGAGCCAATCCAAGGGCATCACAGGCGGAGTCGCATGGTTATATGCATGATTAATCGATCCTCCTTGGGCTTCTTCAATTTTAGTCCAGGCGCTTTGAAAATATTTGGCTCGGATTCCAAAGACTTACCATTTTGCTCTTCCCTTGTTGCGGGCATGAGATGCGCCCCTTCGCCCCCCTGCATCAGACTGGCCCATGGAAACTCCTCGGCGCTCGTTGTTGCGCTAGAAATCTGGGATGTTTGACGATCGCTGAGGTTGGCGGCGTAGAAGGGATGTAAATTTGCTCCGGCTTGTGTTCTATGGGGACCTGATATGCCTAGAGGACCTCTTTGCCTTTCGTTTCGTTTTATATTAGCTCTCTCTCTAATTCCGGGTAAAATTTTGGGAACCCATCAAGAGGACTGACCATTTGAGGTTACCATGATATTGACAAAGGATCACATAACAATTCTCCTCGGCTATATCCTGCCAGCCGGAAACATCTACCGTTATTGAGATTGGGTTGTTGCTATCGCCCGTAACTCTTTTATCAAGATTGGCGTCGCCTTGCCATTCTGCCGACTTGACGCTATCATAGTATTCGCCCTCGTCTTCTTGAGTTGAAAGTTGATCTTTGCGATCTAGATCGAATTCAGCGGCTCTTCCAATATTGGTCAGATCTGACTCCTTGACTCCTGGACTGATTGCCACCACAGGAGCTGCGTTGACTTTCGTCCAGAAGGTAAAGAGGGCGATGCTAAAGATCGAAACTCGGGAAGTAGGCATATTGTCAGAATTCGTTAATTCGCGATAATGCCTTACTGTAGAAAATAACTGGGGGCAGCGACTGGAAGACGAAAGAAGACGCTGCAGAAAAGATGGCCAAGCATTGATACAGACTGGAAACAGAACACATCGATGGTGGCCAAGAAGGTCTATTTGTATTCTAAGGCTCTCGAGGCGATGACTACATTTGCGGCCTGAAGATGCTATCGTTTGCGAACGATCAAGACCGTGACACAACGGCATCTGTTTCTATTTTGATACTTGTGTGAGATTCATTCCATTTACATCCATCTAAACTCAAATGATGATCAAAAACATCCTGCTCGGCGTCATGTCGTTGCCACAAGATCTACTATGGGTGGCGAGTCCCCAAGTCCGAGAAGGCCGTATTACTTCGTCTCAGAGGAAGCCTCATAGTGAGTAACGTGGGTAGATATTTTTATCTTGTTGGTGTTTCTACTCGAAGGATCCCAAGGCTAGATTGCAACAAGTCGGGTTGTTGGTGTTGTTGGTCTCCTTAGGGATTTGTAGTCTCGAATCTTTCTATGGGGCTACAGTATGGGTATGTGGTAATACCTGATTGTGCGACCTCGGTTATGACAAGGATTTCGTCAAAGCGCGCGTTAAGATCGCCGTTGTTGGCTTTCTATGCCATGCTAGGATGCGGCGAAGTTTGGTTGCAATTCAATCGTGCTGTTAGGACCAGGTGCGTTAGTGGTGGGGGCTATGCAAGCTGCAACAAACTCAGGAACCAACAGACAATATTGGCGATTCACATTGAAAGAATCACAGTTAATGTGGGAACGCATGAAATGGGGCTTAGATATCAACACAGCTGTTTGTCGCTCATAATATACATATATTTTTTGCTATGACGTCACCCGCACCAGCAGCCTGATATTGTTCGTTGCGATTCTGCCTTTCCCAATCTCTTCCTTCACTCACATATCCAAAAACATCAACCACTACTATCTAAAGAAACTACTATCTCAAGTTCAACAATTATTCTTGTCTTATTGAAAGGAATCGTCTAAATGTCTTACAAGCTGCTGTTTTGCACAGCCGAGGAGGCTAAGCCCGTAAGCAGCTTGCTTTCTGAGCCCATAGCCAGTTAGAAGTATACTAATGGGTATGTACGAGGCTAGTTTGTCCATCAAGTTCTGCAAGATGATGGGCAGAAAGAACTTGACCCACCTGAAACATCTGGGAATACCTATCTACCTTATTTCCTAGTCCAGTCCACAAAGGTCGACGCCCAGGACCACAAGTTTGTCCAACAACTGGCGCCGGACGATGAATTTGACACTGACTTCATTGGTGCTTCTATCGAGGAGTGCGGAGCCTGGGTTCATGAAAAATTAGGGAAAGATCGCAGGATTCACAGCGAGGTCATTGTGACTATTGACGCGCAAAGCGCCAAGGACCATACTGTCATCCTTTCGTGGTACGCTAGGAAAGCTGCTGGCCCCTTTCTTGCTCCGGGACAGAACATCAACACGTGGTATCACTTCAGAATTCCGCCCTTGAAGGTGTTTTCACTCGAGGTCGACTTGATAATGCAGAATGAGGCCGAGTACTTCGGAGTATTGTTTCATCGAAAGGACGAGCTGACAGATGAGAATGGTGTTTTTGATTATGATAAAGCCAAAGAACTCATTTTGAAAGGTGAAGGCGTTGTTTTTGTGGATGATGATGTACTGGAAGCCAGTTTGGAATAAGGGATTATCTCAATGTACCTTAACTGATGTACTGATTGCTCAATTAACGAATCGTGCTTCTCTCTCAAGTCTCTTGATTCATCTACACCTTGTAATATGAAAACCGTCAGTTCTCGGTTATAGAAGTCCTAATTGCAGTGATCATGTTTAAGCGCATAATACGTCCTAGCTTGTGTATAGCTTCAATCCATCCGAACCAGGAACCATTCCAGTTCTCACGGACGATCTTCAATTCCTACAGGCTGAAACCAACACTTTGAGATGTGCATAAATCCATCTAGGGGCGATGGAAATTAACAGCTATCTCGAAATACGTTTTGTTCTTACAAATTGCCACTGCGGGATTCAAAAAGCATCATTATTCGGATCTTGTTGGGATCTTCAAACGACAAGTGCTGTTGGTCAGCTATGATGCATAAGCAAACACGCTATGTGTTTTCAACGCCACATTGCATCCTTTAACTGATTAGAGTTATGGGTGATCGATCAACTTTAATTTTAGCATCATTGGGAGAATCAACGTCATCGGCCGGAAAGAGAGGTAAATTTGGTTCGTGAAACACAAGACAGCATGAAGAATGAGGAATCAAAGCTGTAGGCTAGTAAATTGGTATATGCCGCAGGCAAGTTCAAAAGCAACACAGGAATCTTAGGCAAAAAGTATAAAGAAGCAGCATGATCGCCCGTCGTGGTCTACTTAAAATTGCAATCATCACACTCACAACTCTATTCACTTTGCAACCTCACCAAACCAATTGCGATCAACCAAATTTCTTCATAACTAGACACTATCAACCAAACTTCAACGACATATAGCACCAAGACAGAGAGCACTCTAACCCTACCGCAACTAAATTGTCCTTCATTCAACAAGATTAAAGTGTTTCCTCACCATCACAATAATGCATTTCAGCACCGTCACACTCCTTTCCGTTGCCATCACGGCTTCCCTGGCCACTCCTGTCTTGGAGACTGAACAGACCGACCTCTTCCAGCGCACCACAGACCTGGAAGAGTTGACCCTATTCTTGACCGCAGATCGAGGCAATGGAGAGCGCATGGAATACTACGGGGTGAACACCACCGCCGTCGCTATCAATGCCGCTGCCAACGCCGCCAACAAGGAGAAGCCGACGCGGACTCTGGAGCGCAAAGGGACGTCTTGCTCGGCCACCCCGACACCGTCGTGTGACACGAAGAAAAACCAGGCCCAGAACGCGTTATGCGAGAGCCTCATCAATGACCTCAACGCCCAGTACACCGTGGCGATTCCCAAAGAATGGCGCCAGATCTGTTATAGGGGCACCGACGGTTCCTGCTGTACCGGGTGGAACACGGAGGTTAGCAATCTTCAGCAAGGTGATTTGGCCGCGAATGTGGAAACCGTTGCGCAGTCTTGCTCAGCCAACGGTGTTTCCGGGAAGATTTACGGGACAAAGCTCTTCCAGACTTGCTGCAACCAGTGTGTCAACAGTGGACATAAGTGCTCTTAAGACAAGGGCATTATAAGAGAGAGAGGCCGTTGAG